CACACACACACACACACACACACACACACACACACACACACACACACACACACACACACACACACACAGTTCGCAAAACACATCCACCCACCCACACCCCACGCAAAACACAGGGCAGATTCGCACGTTGCTTCGAGAGGGCGCATGTCCTTGGACGCAATCGCATCGATGATCAACTTGGCACGCTCGTCAACAGCACCATTCTCACTTGCGGTTGATTCCTGAAACCCATCCCGACCATCACCACTGGAACTGCTGGAACGAGGCATTCTGGCTGATCGTGCTGGTGGCTTGCTTGTTGTTTGTTTGTGTTTGGTGTTGGAGGAGGAAAATTGAATGAAAATATCCAACACAAATCGGCCGGAGCCTCCTTCCACAGGTTGGACGTGTACGCGGGTCCTTTCTCTTTTGAGCAACAGCCTCAGCGGTGTCTCTTGCAGGGTGAGTCGGGTCTCCTCGGTTCTTGGTCCCCCCCCCCCTCCACCAAATCGGTTCCTCTCACTACTGGAGTTGTTTACTCTCCACTGAATCGACAGCAGGAGGACAGGGTGACGGTAGTCACTCGGGGGCGCGGCAGCCGCAAGGCCGACTGATGGCGCTACCAACAAACAGGTCAAACAGTACTACAGTACAGACAAGTACAGACAGTAGGAGAGTTCCCATTATCATCATGTCACATCACTCAAGCAAACAAACGAGGCGGCGGTAACACAAACACAAGAAGAAGAAGAAGAAGAAGAAGAAGAAGAAGAAGAAGAAGAAGAAGAAGAAGAAGAAGAAGAAGAAGAAGGACACAGGAAACACAAGGAACAATACACATTTGCAACACAAGAAATCCAAGTGCAGCTTGCATCGTACAGCAACAAAGCAAGCACTGCATTGGCTCTTTCTGTCCACAGCCTCACACACACAGACACACAGACACACGCTCACACACGCTCACACACGCTCACACACACAGACACAGACACACAGTATCGCGATCTTCCCGCCTCGCGGCGTCAGTAGTCTAGTAGTAGAGCTGCTGAATCTCATCAAACGTCCTTGGCCGCTTCACGGGAGACCATTGGCTCTGAAGGCAACGTTGCACCAACACAACACAGCACCACGAGCACGAAACCGTCAACGAGGGGCCAAAGGAAGCAATAGAGCTCCAGCAGACACACAGACACACAGACGCAGACACACACACACACAGACACAGACACAGACACACACAGGCACAGACACACACACACACAGACACAGACAGACAGACAGACACACACACACACATCTCACCTTTGTGTTGACTCCTGGTGCCTCGGGCGAGTGACACACCTTCCACGTATTCTAAAATCATAAAATTCCATCACACAATCACAGAAAAGGAGAACCGCTGTGCATGAGTGTTTGCACAACAGCAACGGCCAAAGTCACACCCAAGCATCACTACACACCACGGCACACACCACACACCGCCATGTGGCAGCACACCTTGGCATCTGCCTTTGACGGGGATGGGAACTCCTCCAACAGCTGCAAGGCCTCCTCACGCTCGCGCGCCTCCTCAGCCGCTGCAACCGGCGCCTTTGCTTGCGGTGCTGGGGCCGCCGTCACTGCCTTTGGTGCTCTTCGTGCTGCCACGGCCAGCCTCGACTTCATCGTCTTCCGTGACCTTTTCGTGTTGCCTTTTGCAGCAGTGGCTGCCGTGCTTGCTGTTGTGGCACTGGACGAAGGCACGGCTGTGGCCCCATTGCCACCGGCTGTTGCTACTGTTGTGGGCGTAAACGCACTTCCGGCTCTTCTTGGCAGGCCACAGCGAGGAGGACGCAGCAGCGATGTGCCAGCCGCCAGCCGCTTGCTTGTTGGCGCCCCTTTCTTCCCGCGCACCAGGGCCGATGCCTTTGCTCCAGCTGGCTTGCGTTGCTGCTGCTGCTGTTTCGCGCGGGCCAGCGCATTCAGCAGTTCAGGCCGCACGTCTTCTTCCTCCTTGTCTTCATTCTTGGTGCTGTGTGCTGTAGCTGAGTCCGTCTTGATGGAAGACTGGGCCTCGCTTGATGTTGGTGCTGTTGTGGAAAGCTCGGGTGCTGATGCTGGCACTGTCGTTGCTGATGCTGGTGTTGGTGCTGCGGACATTGCTTTCCGTGTTGTTGTGATCGTTGGCTTCGGTTGCAGAGCTGTGACAGGCGCTTTCTTCGGGTCAGTTGCTGCAATCACTTGAAGCAGCGGCTTGGTCGTATTCGTTGCTGTTGCCGTTTGTGTACGCTGCTGGAGGGCAAGTGGCTTCTTCGCGGGCTTGATGCCGCCATCACCAGCGTTGCTGTCGTGCTTATTGTTTGTGATTTCACGCAGCAGGCGGCCGGGGCTGAACGCAATTCAGGGGGGGGGGGAGTTGACGCCACTAATGAGCGATTGATTCACTGCAAGAAAGAAAAGCAATACATGCACGCGCAGCGTACAGTACCGCCCAAATATGCACACTGCATAAACCGCTGCAACAACATTTCTCGCAAGCACCCATCCACCCTCTCGCTCTCTGTGTTTCTTTGTCTCTTCCTCACTGTCTCACTCGCATGCAGCAGCAGGACTGGGACTCACTTTGTTTTGCCACAAAACACGATGCTCCGCGTGAATGTCGGGGAGTCAGATCCAAGCTAACCCCCAAGAAACAGAGCGAGAAGGCAGTCAGGGATGGAGCGAGTCAGTCAAGTACTCCGTTCGTCACGCGAAGACAGAAAGCAAGACAGACAGACAGGCACACAGAGACACATACGCATACACACACAATCACACACAGGCGCACACAGAAAAACGCATGTACACACAATCACGAAAAGGCACACACGCAATACACACAGGCACACAATACATGCGCACACACAATACATGCACACGCATAATACATGCACACGCACAGACACAAACACACACATCAAGCACAACAAGGGCCAAACAGTACCGCTGTTGGTTTGGGGAGGCCTGAGAATCGTGCGAGCTTGGAGGGGTGCTGGTCTTCCTCCTCCTTGGTCTTTGTCTTGTCTGTGGCGTAGTCTTCCTGGAATACGGCCAGCACGCGGCGAGGGCGCTCACGTGCTTTCTGCTCTGCCCACTTTTGTCTTTGTTCTTGCTCGTGTTGTTCTTGCTGTCGCCTCTTCTCCTCTTCCGCAGCGGCCGCCTCCCGCGCTCGCCGCTCTTTCTCCTGTCGTTCCTTCCTCTCCTGCTCTTCCTGCTGCCTTGCCTTCCATTGCTGCTCCTGCTTGTGCATGCGCGCGTCTTGCTGCAATGCCTGCTGCAGGAACGTCACCCGCTTCTTGCACTCCTTTGACGAAATCTCCCCAAAGAACACCTCATCTTCATCGTCTTCATCGTCTTCGTCATCCTCCTCTTCTGGTTCCGCTTCACCAGCGCCACCGTCTCTGTCTGTGATTGCGTGTGTTCTTGGCTCGCTGTTTGACGCACTTGCACCCTTACCAGCTTGCTCTGCGTACACATCGTTGATGGCACAGCGAAACTTGTTGTGAGCGTGGAAGGACCAAGCAGTAGCCGCACACGTGCGCGCGTGTGGCCAGCCAGGCAGGCAGGCAGTACACAAACAAACAGACAGAGAGACACACAAACGAACAGACAAACCAGTCAGACAACCAGGAAAGCTGACACACACACAGACACACACCCGCGCACAGACACACACGCACACAGACACGGACACAGACAAAGACACACACACACAGACGCACACAGACGCACACAGACACACACAGACACACAGACACAGATACACACACACAGGCACAGACAGACAGACACCCACACACACATGCACGCACGCGCGCACCTTCTTCTTTGAGGCCGCGGAGGGTGGCGTAGCATTGCTCAAGAACGGTTGGCTCTCCGAAGAAGACCTCATCATCTTCGTCATCATCCTCGTTGCCATCATCTTCACTAGCATGGCTGGTCTTCTGGTACGTGTCGTTGCCATGTGGTTCAGCAACGTCGCTTGTGCTTGTCTCACCCATTGCTCCCTCTGGTTGCTTTGCCGCTACTTTGCCACTGCATACTTGCTTTGGAGGAGGACTGCTGAGGTCAATCAACTGCACGCTGTTGGCGTTGTTGGCTGCGCTTGTGCTGTTGGTTGTGTTGGGGCGACCTGTCGTCGTCGTGGTAGCGGCTGCATCAACGTTGTTGCTGTTGCTGCCTGTTGTGCATTCAGACATTGGAGGTGTCGTTGACGTTGATGGTTTGCGACTGCCGCTCGACAGCGAATCGGTATCGTCCACCAGGTCTGCAAAGTCATCGTCGTCCGTGTCCCAAAACCCTTTGCCCTACCAAGCAGGCACGAAACACGGTCGTGAGGCTCATGCTTGAGGAAGACACAACAAGTAGCGCAGTTGCAACAACGGGTCCACCAAACAAAACCCAGCGCGTCGCTGCCCACATTGTCTTCTTCCGTCGAAGCAAACAGCTCCACATCGTCCAAGTCATCGGTGTCTGTTCAAGCAAATCATGTTGTTGATGCGGCAAGATGAGTGTGTGATGACGTTCGTGTGTGATTTGAGTACGTGATAAGGTGAGTGCGTGATGAGGTGAGTTCGTGTTGGAATGTTTGCGTTTGTATATGGTGAGCATGAGAGTTGACAGGTTCTGCAACGCGTCTCTCTGTCGTTGTGATGCACCACCTCCCCTTTTTACAACCATACACATGCACAACACAACCTGGGAGATTAGTCCACTGTGTGCGCGGCAAGGGTCTTCTTGCACCATGCTTGGTATCGTGTGCGCTGGTGTTGGTGATGGGCGACTCAGATCCACAAAACGAGAACGATGTCGTGTCCTTGCCATCTCCAACATCAAACAGCGCTGCGTCATCCAACGCAGCCAAGTCCACAAGCCCGTCCTCTTCCATCACGTACGCTTGTGTTGTGTGTGTGTGTGTGCGTGTATACGGGTGTGTGTGTGTGTGTGTGTGTGTGTGTGTGTGTGTGTGTGTGTGTGTGTGCGTGTGTGTGTGCGTGTGTGCGTGTGTGTGTGTGTGTGTGTGTGTGTGTGTGTGTGTGTGTGTGTGTGTGTGTGTGTGTGTGTGTGTGTGTGTGTGTGTGTGTGTGTGTGTGTGTGTGTGTGTGTGTGTGTGTGTGTTTAGCTTCGTTGCACAGTTCCCAATTCAAATTTGGCGGCGCTGATAAGTTGCGGTGTGTTTGCCAAATTTCGCGCCACACAAACGTGAGCTGACTCACCATCGCGCTCGACAACTCCTCCTGCAACGACCACCAGCCAATCCGCATCTCCATCCAATCCACCTCCAAACCCCACAGCCCCACCAACCTCAGCTCACGCATAAGCACATCCCCAGGGATGAGGAAGGCGCCCATGCAGCGGGGCGTCCTTGCCGTAGCCGCAGCGCGCTCCACCATCGTGTTGTTGCTGCTGTGCTCCTTGCACAACGTGCACATGCACGTGCGAGCACACTCGACAACAACAACGACAACAACAACAACAACTGTCCAGGATGGAGATGCGTTGGCGTGCGAGCGTGCTCGAACTGCGCTCCACACAGCGTCTTCCCTTCTCGCAAGCGACGCCACGCATGATGGCGCTAGAGAGGCCGTGCTGGGCCCCGTCTACGACGCCCTTGATCACTTCTGCACCCCGTCTGTGACCTCAGCACACAGCACAGTGCACACGCAACACGACACTGACAAATCACGGCAGCCACAGCCACCACAACAGCCACAGCCACCACAACAGCCACAGCCGCTGCCACCACAGCAGCCACAGCCGCTGCCACCACATCAGCCGGCGCAACGACCTGACCCGGTTTTGCCGCGCCTCACTCCGCAGCTGCAGAGCTTTCTACCACAACTCGGGCAGCATCCCTTGATACGCCAGCGGCAGCAGCGGCAGCAGCAGTTGCAGCGGCCGCGTCTCGAGCCCGGCATTGACAGCCACTACGACGACCACAATGACTCCCCCACCAACAGCCACGACGGCCTCATTGACTACCCCATCAACAACTACAACAGTGACAGTGACGAGGTCGGGGTATTGCACCGACAAAGACGCGTGCAATCAGAGACGGCCCTCGTGGTGAGCTGCTCGTTGTCGTCCCTTGTCCTTGAGCACAACTGCACCGTGCCAACCCAGCGCGGCGAAAGGGTCACCTTCAACATCACCTTTGACCTGCCACACGATGCAAGCGAGAACAGCAACGTCTCGGCGTTTGACCCGCGCACGCTCTTGAGCGTGACGCAGGCTGTGCGCCCGGCAATGCTGCGTACCTCTGGCGTTGTGGAGGCTGACCAGCTGCGCTGGGTGCTGGAGAACGGCGACTGGTCGTTTGTCACCCACGTCGCCCTCAGCAGCCTCAACTTCAACCAGCTGGTCCTCAACATGCTCAACAGCTGCGCGTCCCTCATCGGCATCAGCGCCGTCAACAACGATCTCTGGTCCATCGTGCAGCGCAACAGCGAGTTCCCGCAGCCCTTCACACGCGCCCCGTTTCTTCGACAGCTTGACTTTGCGGGCAACCACTTATCGCAGCTGCCGCAAGGGGCGCTCGCCAACATGACCACACTCACCGCCCTCTATCTCAACGGCAACCTGATCACCATGGTCCACCCCGTCGCATTTGAGGACACGGCACAGCTGGGCGTGCTGCATCTCGAGTTCAACCGCATCCGCGATGTCAATGGCCAGCCCTTCCGCTACCTCACCCGCCTCACGGCGCTCCGCCTCACCAACAACGTCATCACCCGCATCCCCGCCAACACCTTCAGCGCCCTTTCCAGCCTCACTGACCTGAGCCTCACCCAGAACCCGCTGGAAACGCTGCCCAAGGGCCTCTTTGACCCGCTCGTGGGCCTGCGCAGCGTGATGCTGTCCAGCTGCCGCCTCCTCCACCTCCCGCCCGCGCTGTTTCCCAACCAACCAGGCCTCCAGGCCGTGTTTGTCGACGACAACTTCCTCACAGAGCTGCCGCCAGACCTCTTTGCGGTCACCCCACTGCTGCGCACCTTGCACCTCGACAGCAACATGCTCACCTCCCTGCCCCCGGGCCTGTTTCGCGCCACGAGCAGGCTGTTCTCCCTTCGCCTCGGTCGCAACCACATCACCGCCCTGCACCCCGACATCTTCGCCCACCTGACCATCGTGTCCACCATCCAGCTCTTCAACAACCGCCTGCGCTCCCTGCCGTCCGGTCTCTTCCGCAACACCGCGGGCCTGGTGCAGGTGCACCTCGAGCACAACGAGCTCACCTCGCTGCCGCCCAACGTCTTCTCCGGCCCGCGCGCCCTCGTCGCCCTCACCCTCGCACACAACCGGCTGACGGCGTTCTCACACGCGCTTCCCGCTCTGATTCGCCTCGACATCAACGACAACGGCCTGCACCACGCGCCAGACGTGACCAAGCTGCCCCGGCTGCACACCTTGCAGTTCAACAACCACCTCATTGGCGAGGTGGACCTCACCCCCATGCTCGCCCTCACGCATCTGACGGTGCTCGCCGTCTCTGCGCATCGCCAGCGCCCCGGCCGCCTGCTGGTTGACCCGGATAAGCTGCACACGTGGACGGCAGCGTCCGGGCTCACCACACTGCAGGCACGCCACCTCGCCCTCCCGCCGCGCTTCCTGCACACGCTCTTCGACATTGGCGTGCGCCTGCGCAACTTTGACCTTGGCTGGCCGGGCATGGACGAGACGTACGCGTCATCAGACCTGCTGTGCAGCCTGCTCACGCAAGATGCGGACGAGGTGCTGCTCACAGAGACGGGGTACACGGAGCTCACGCTGTGCCGTGACATCAGCATTGAGTCGCTGCTGCTCCCGCACAACCCCATGCTGAAGCAGATCACCGTGCCCGGCAGCATCAGCAGCATCGTGGTTGCTGGCTGCAAGCAGCTGCACTCGCTTCGCGTTGCGCGCGTTCACGTGATGGACGTCACCGAGACCAACCTGCCCTACTCCAACGCGTTCTGCGTGACGTGGGGTGCAACCTTGCTGTTTGCGCGCCGCATGCTCAACGAAAGCTTCTCCCACCCGGGAAACCTACAGCGCCTCGTGCGCGTGTGTCTCGCAACGGTGCTTGCCCTCGACCTCTCCGACAACCCGAGTCTGAACGACCCGCAGCTCATCAACGCGGTGGTGTCGGAGCCAACCATCATCAGCTCCCGCTCCTTCGCCCAGGAGGCCTCGCTGGAGGTGGTTCCCAGCCGCCCCACCATCCCCGTGTTCAACATCCCAACCGCCGCCATCGCCTGCCAGCCGTTCCTCACCACCGTCCGCGCTCGCCCGCGCACCGGCAACCAGGACGCCGTGACGCTGCTGGCCTACGCGTACGAGTGCGAGTGCCAGTCGCGCTTCCGCCTCTCGGGCGGCGTGTGTGTGCCGGACACGCTGACGTCTGCGCAAGTGGCCGGCATTGCCGTGGGCACCATGCTGGCAGGCGTCACGGTGGCCTTTGGGCTGCTTGCCCTCTACCGCACCTACACGCGCAGCAAGCTGTACCGGCTTGGGCTGGAGTCTGAGAATGAGCTGCAGAAGCGGTTGATTGAGGAGAGGGACGAGGAAGTGATGGCGCTGAAGAAGGCGTGGGAGATTGGGCACGAGGAGCTGGCGTTTGTGCGGCGCATTGACGCGGGCTCCGAGGGCGCCTTTGGCGAGGTCTGGCTTGCGAGCTGGGACACGGTAATGGTGGCGGTGAAGGTGTTGAAGCAGAGCCTGATGATGTTTGACGAGAGCACGGTGCTTGAGTTTGAGAAGGAGGTGGAGTTCCTGCAGCGGACACGGCACCCACACGTGGTGCGGTTCTTTGGCGCGGGCACAGACCCCAACACGAACAGCCCCTTTCTTGTCTTGGAACACGTTGCGCTTGGCGCCCTCAAGTCGCTGCTGGAGAAGGATTTGGAGGCCATTCTCGCTGAGCAGTACCAGCAGCAGCAACAACAGCAGCACGATGATCTGCAGACGAGTGGTGGCGCCCTTGCTGCGTCCACACTGCAGTCGTGGCCGAAGACCGTGTGGGACCTGAAAGTTCGGCTTGCGCGCGATATTGCCTGCGGCATGGCGTTCATCCACAGCCTCGGCCACATTCACAGGTTTGTGTTGCGTGTGTGTGTGTGTGTTGTGTGTGTGTGATGTATTGTGATTTCGTGTGTGTTTTTTTTTTTTGGTGTATGTGTGTGGTATTTTCTGAGTGTGTGGTATTTTCTGAGTGTGTGGTGTTTTATGTGTGTGTGTATGTGTGTGTATGTGGTGTTTTCTGTGTGCAAGCATGTGGTTGTGTGATGCCATGTCAATTTGCTTACACACACTCTTCTCTTGTCATGCGTGTGTTTTTTTCTTTCCTTCCCCGGCTTTCCTTCCCCGCGCTTTCTTTCCTTGTTCGCTGCGTCACACCAACAGGGATCTGAAGAGCGGCAATGTGCTAGTGTCGGCCACGCTGCGGGCAAAGATTACGGACTTTGGATCCATTCGCCAGTGCCTGATGAGCCCCGTCGGGGCCACACACGGCAGCACCCGCAGGGGAACTGGCGCGTCTGCAACGATGGTGACGAGCATGGAGGGCCCAGAGCACATGGCCGGTGCACGTGTGGACAGCGCCCCAGATGCAAACGGTGGTGTTGAGCAGGACGTCAAGTACTCGTGTCAGGTTGGCCTGATGACCCTGCACATGACGATGACGGCTGGCGTGGGCACCCCGCTGTATATGGCGCCCGAGGCGCTTGACGGGACCATGTACAACTCCAAGGCAGACGTGTTCAGCTTCGGCGTGCTGCTGTGGGAGATTGCGGCTGAGGCTGTGCCCGACCTCATTTCGCAAGAGAAAGGCGGAAACTTCAACGGCCCGCTCCTGCTCACCCTCGAGAAACTTCTCAAGGAGGGGAAACGCCTTCGATTCCCAAGTGTGTCGCGTGGTTGGTCGTGTGTGTGTGTGGGGGGGGGGGGGAGGAGGGGGTTTCTTGTCGGTGTCGCTGTTGCCGTTGCTGTGAGTTGCGTCATGGGTGTATGTTACTGTGAGTTGCGTTATTGTTCGTTTTGGTTGTTCATGTGGGCTGTGTGAGCTGCGGGGCGTAAGGGGGTTGTCTCTTGCTTTCGCTTGAGCGCGATGACTGCTTGTTCCTCACGCTGTTGCTTCCTCCCTCACCACCTTGTTTTCGCCCTCACATCCTTTGCTCATGTTTGCACACCAACCAGAGACGTGTGTGCAGTGGTATGCCGAATTGGCAGAGCGCTGCATGCGCCAGCAGCCGCAGGCCCGCCCCACGTTTACCGAGCTGGAGATGCACCTCACCGAGGCACAGGACAACATGACTTGAAGGCATTGTCAAGACCTCTTCGTTGTGGCTTGTGGTTTGTCAACGCAACACGGCACGGCACGCCACGCAAGAGAGTGCTCCGGCTTGTGTGTGTGTGTGTGTGTGTGTGTGTGTGTGTGTGTGTGTGTGTGTGTGTGTGTGTGTGTGTGTGTGTGTGTGTGTGTGTGTGTGTGTGTGTGTGTGTGTGTGTGTATCTGTGCACCGGACGGCATGCTATCTTGCTTTGCCGTCTCACTCTTTGAGTGCACGTGACCAAGTAGTACATTTAGGGTTTAATAAACATCTCCATCAACAGCCACAAACTGCACAAGCCGAACGCCACAACTTAACAGCTGGTGCAAGGGCCCGCAGACTTAAGAGGAGACATCACAGACAGACAGACAGACAGACAGACAGACACACAAGCAGACAATGTCATCCACTTATTTGCCACGCGGCAGAGGCATCAGCGGCACTCGTTCTTCCACACAGTCGTGATCTTGCCATCTTCCATGATATGCAGCGTCGTGTGCATAGCGCACGTTGCGCACGCCTTATCACATACACACATATAAAACATGCCGTGAGAGGAGACACAGCAACTCATGGAGATAATGCAAAACATGAACGCTGGTGCAGAAGCAGATACGCCAACTCAAACACACACACACACACACACACACACACACACACACACACACACACACACACACACACACGTACACGCACGAACACACACATATACACGCATACATGGTATGGTCTGATTCGAAGGATGGTGCCGAGCTTGAGGTTTTCGAAAGGAAGAGGGCTGCCATCATTAGACGTCAGCACACTCGTCTCCTGCGACATGGACACAAACCTAACACACGCGAGCAAGGAAGCAGCAACGAGATTGTATTGGTATTGGATATCGTAAATGAAAATGAAGGCAGCGAGCAACGACAAGCAGGCAGGCAGACAGACAGACGGATGGATGTACACACACACACACACAGAGATAGAAATACGGACAGATAGACATACAGACACGCACACATATGCAGACACAGACACACAAGTGAACCGACTTCAGGTTTGGGTGATCGATGAATCCGCCAAAGTTGTCATCTGGGGATGCAAAAGGAGCAATACGGCACCACATTACAGCAGTTAGGAGCTGCGGAGTCCTGGAAAGACAGCGGGTGTGGCACCAAAGCCACCTCTCAACCCCAACACCTCTCTTTCGAGTTTCTCTGCATCTCACCTGCTCCCTGGGAAGACGTGGCTGTCCATCCCGCGTCTGTGATGGGCACACAAAACAAAACGCGAAGACAGCGAAATGGACACACATCCCACGGTTGCCGGTCATCAATCTCCACTGAGCTGACAGAGAGACAGAGAGAGACACACGTGCAGGTGCATGTGCAGGTGCAAGTATAGACACACAGGCAAACAAGGCACACATACATACATACAGACAGACAGACAGACAGACACACACACACACAGAGGCACAAACACAAGACAAACAAGGTTTATACGCAGGTAGCCACGGAGAGCAACGCGCCAGGCGTACCAATCAAGATTTGGTTTCGTTTTGGATACACGCCAATCACCCGCGTTATGACGAAAGCGGCAATGTCCTCTCTGGTGAACGAACAACACAAATTTACAAATGCAGCACCGCGGGACAAGGGTGGCTGGAGTTAGTGTTGCACGGCCAGCAACAGTGGCATTGGCGGGTATTTTCGGGCCATGTTCAGCAGCACTGTTTGCACCAGCCCAACCTTGAGCACGAGGAAATCTGCGCCTGCATCTCGTCTGTTACAGCAACGTCGAAACGTTGCAACACACACACACACACACACACACACACACACACACACACACACACACACACACACACACACACACACACAATGTGTAAGAAACAGGTCATCCAGCCAAGAGGGACGAGTTCGGACATCACGTGACGAGATTGTGATTCGCACCATAAAAGAGGTAGTTGCCTGGGTGCATTTCAGTGACGCCTTCAAGCCCTGATGTAGGCGGGTGGCTACATGTTGGTGTGGACCCAACACCCACGTCGGGCACAGCGATGCCGTTGTCTCGAAGCCTGTTGGGTTGAGGAGCACGCGTATGAATGTGAGGCGTGGGCTAGTGGTGCTACAGGCTCGACGCGAAGCTCGGAAAATCACACACACACACACACACAGACACACAGACAGACACACATACACACACAGACAGACACACATACACACAGACACACACACAGTGTTGCTGCAGCGACGACAGCGTCCCGCTCTGTTGCTGCCAATTCTTGGATCTGGTCTGGATGGCGGCAGCCGTAGGACATACCCGCATGCGTGTACACGCCTGCAAGCACGGCAAAAGCGAGCGAGGTAGGTGTCAGCAGCAAGGTGCACTTTGGGCACAGCGTCAAACAGGAAAGCACATGCGTTCAGCATGCACCACATTCCGTTCTCACCTCGAAGCGTAGTCAGCGGCTCTTTGATAGATTGGGCCAATGCCAACACATCCTCTGGATCCTGCACGCCGGCACGATGATACCTTATGTTGAATGATGGCAATGGAACCAAAGAACGAATGAGGTGTCAGTTTGGGGGTGGGCGTACACAGCGACACGCACAGCAACTTAACGCGTATTACAAATGGGTCCACACGCAGACAAGCGAGTCAAATCAACTGGAAAGCAAACACACGTACGCAGGCACATGTACGCACACACACACACACACATACACACACACACACACACACACACACACACACACACACACACACACACACACACACACACACACGAACATACAGATGGACGTACCCGCAGTCAATCTTGATCCACACGGGTAGAGGGCATCGTGATTCGGAGGTGCGAAGTGCAGTGTGCAGCTTCTCCAATAGCTCTGGCGAGTCAACTAGCACCTGGTGGGAAGGGAGGGCGCAAGGGAAGGAATGCACCAATGTATCAATGGAGCAGATCGTTGCTCAGGCGAGCAGAGGAGCAACAGCGGCTGCTTGTACCTCCTCTTCCATCTTTGGTCCTCAGCCCACACACCTGGAAGTCGTTGCTCTCGTTGAGATGTAGCGAGACGATGGGCTGGATCTTGTCGACGCCGAGCGGCACTGCGTACAACACATCGCTGAATTTGTGCTCCAGGAAGTACCTGAGCTCCGTCAGGGTGGACACCACAATGCGGGATCGTCGTCCGCCCGTCTGCAGCAGCGTGCCTGTTGCCACGACCCAACAAGCGTACGTCTGTGAGAGGTAATAACGTCACGTCACAGAAAGACGTGACTTATCTTTGTTAGCACACGGACAGACGCACCAATAAACGCGCACACACATACACACGAACACACACACACACGAACAAACAACCAAACACACACGAGATGTTTGTTACATCCAACTTTGGGTCCATTATGATTGTAGTTTAATGCATGAGGATAGGCACAACAGCAGCTGCGTACAACCTTCGATTGTCTTGTGCGTTTTCACATGTGGGCGTACGCAAACGCCCAAGGCGGCTGCGCGTTCCAGCATGCGCTCTGCATTGCGGCGAGCGATGCTGGCATTCACCACCAACGCAGGCGATACCAGCGCATCCACACTGCTGCTGGTGGTCATCTTGTTCCGCGGTGAGCCGAAAATTTGCTACTGCATCCACAACTCTTCCACATCCATCACGAGATTTCAGCTGCGCTGTTGGGCAAAGTGCGCCTTCACTTGCGCTTCCGTCGCGTCCACGGTGACTGGGTGTTGATAGCGAAAGCTCTCAACCCCCTCCCTGCACAAACACACACACACGGAGGCGAGGAAAGGTGAGAGTGAGCTACTCTCTTCTTCTGCACTATGCTAACAGCAGCACGTTTGTGTTTTCGTTGATTTTGTTGTTGATGGTGGTGGTGGTGGTGGTTTGGGAAATGCTCGTAGCCTAGTGATGGGCAGGCTCGTTCACAACACACAACACACACATACACACATGCATGCATGCAGTACCGAGTGGGACACTCTGCTGTGGCAATGACGGTGCCGTCTATCTCATGGAACTGGAACACACGAGGCTGATAATTTCGACACAGGAGCAAGTAAGAAGCAAGGTGAGTTTGGCGCTTTTACATCTCAGCTTTCACACACACACACACACACACACACACACACACACACAAGCACGTGAAGGCATGCGTACCGCGCAGCGTTCTCGAGCCATCGCAATGACACGTTTTGAATATGTGTTTTTCCTCTTGGGCTTGTTCTTTCTCCAAAACTCCGCGCCAACGCCTACAACAACCAAGCCAAGCAACAACAGCAGCACAAGGTGTGAGCGGTCTCATGTGTGATTCCAAACAGCAGAAAACCATTCTCTGCACACGACACCTGGCTCCTATTTCTCCATGTTGCACACACACACACACACACACAACCCGCATGCGTACCAGGGAAGAGCTCGCACAGCTTTTCAATGGGGTCTGGCTCCACAGAGAGGAGGGATTTCAGCATCTGGCTCGTCAGCACGGGCTTTCCGCGCCGATCCAGCGGCACGTCCTCCAAGTCAACGTCTTCTGTCTGCTGTCTTCGTGGCTTCTTTCTTCGTCCCTCCACCTCCACATCAGCTGCATCGGTGTCACCGCCAGCCGCCCCGTCATTGTCACTGAGCCCCTCTGACCCGGCCTCGCTCGCGCGTCGCTTCGGCACCGTCACACCAGCACGAACCGCAGCCCGCCTGTGCGACGAAGATGATGCCAACGATGACGATGACAGAGATAACGAGGAGGAAGAGCGAGCACCACGAAGCGGCCTCGCAGAGGTCATCTGTGCACCGTTACGACCTGTATCTAGATCGTCTTCCACCCCGTGATCTGTGTCTTCGTCATCGTTGGCAGCATCCCTGAGCGTGCTCGGCCGCATCAGGCTGGGGAAAGCGTCGTCGCTGTCATCACTATCGTTACCACTGGTTCGTTTTCGTCTTGCCTTTGGCCGCAATATGTGGGTGCTGTGCTGTGCTGGTGTGCCGTCCCCATCGTCATCATCATCATCATCATCATCGTCGATGACAACTTCCTTTTCTACTTCCTCGTCATTGTCATTATCGTTGCCTTCGTCCAGGTCGTGACTGTCGTCTTCGTCGTCATCCGACTCGTCCTTCACCATGTGGTGGTGAAGTGAAGATGCGCGTGCTTGTGCTGGCCCTCCTCGCAGGGCTGCGGAGGACCACATGTTCTTGCGGGTGGCTCGAACGGTGTCGCTGGCGTCTGCTGGCAGCACATCGACCACGCGCGCGTGTTGTCGTTCCAGCGCACGGCTCATAATACGCGCAAAGGACACGCAGGTGTTGCCAATGTGCACGTCGAGCAGCCGCGGGACGCCGGCGGGGAGGGTGGGGTAGGTCGTGGTTGCAGCCGAGGGCACTTCTCGACCCAGTTTGGAAAGGTGCTCGTCCTTTTCCTTCTCAATCTCCTGCTCCAGCGCCGCCTTGCGCTGACCAAACTCTTCAAGCGTCATGACACTCCGTGGGTCCAGCCTGCTCTTCACACTCTCCCTGCACGTCGGTTGAAGTGGTGGCGGAGGTGGTGTGTGCGTGAGGTATTTTGTGCGAATGGGTGGTGTTGTTGTCAGCACCATCCAACGTGCAGTGCTCACCGCTATTCCTCCTTCTCTCACCTTCACAAGTTCTCTCACTCACATTCCCTCTCACTCTCACGCACGCACATGCACACCCACACCCACACCCACACCCACACCCACACCCACACCCACACACACACACAAACAAACACATGCGCACACCAACACATTTCACGCGCACCGTATTCTGGCGACGTGCTGCTTGATGTCGTCGCTGGCTTGCTGCGCGGCGTGGGCGGCGTTGTCGTATTCGGTCTTCAGCCGCTGGCGCCGTTCCTCAAGCGCAGCGTTGAACTGCAGCGCACGCGCAGAAGTTTGGGGGAAGTTATGTAGTGATGGGAAGGTGACGGACAGGGGAGGGGGGTGTGGAGAGCAAGGGTGCAAGGGATGCAGATCCAATGAATGGGGTCGGTCCCTTGACATTGGGGGTGCACACGCACAGCACCTTGTTGAGGCGCTGGTGCGTTGATGCCAAGAGCTGATCCGCGATGCGTTTGGGCTCGGAGATGAGGTGTGTGTGGGAACCATGGGAGCCGCTGGCGATGGCCTTGCTCCTGCATCGGCAGCAGAAGCAGCAAGATGGCACAGCCAGGATGATGCAGTGGGCAGAGGTGAGGCAAGGAGGAAAGAAGAACAACAGCAGCCCAAGCGCATGTCGAATGGGTGATGGAGGAGCGAGTGGGGAGTGTTTATTGATGCGACACCGCAACACGAGCGTTGAAGAGTAAGGATGCTCAGCCACAACAGCAAGAGCACTAATATGTGCGTGCGTGTGTGTTTGTTGAGGGGCGATGACATCCAGGACATACAGTTTCTCCAAAGAAGCGATGCGCTCGGTTAGCCTTCGTCGCAGGATCGTTGCCACCTCTGCGCGTTCGTTCGCCAAGCAAGCAGGACACCAATATGTGGCAGTGCAGGCAGCATGCGTTTGTGAGAGGCACGTGGCGCATGCAAAGCGGAAGCTTGTGTGCCATGGGCACGCGCTGTGTGAAAAACAAAAAACAAAAAACAGACAAAGGAAAAGGCACGCACCTGCCGTGGGAACGACATTGTCACTGCGTTTGCTCAGGCAGGCTGTGCAAAATGGAGCAGTCCAACTGCCGTCACGCAACAGCGCCAATGCCGTGGCTGGCGAGTGGCAGAGTCGGCACTTCGTCACATCATCTGTGTGTGTGTGTGCGCGCGCGCGTGTGTGTGTGTGTGGAGGCACACAAGGCGATGCCATACGATGAGGCGGAGAAGGAAGCCGTCGGAGTGTGAGTGTGATGCCAACAAGGTGGCGGCATGAGGCGCCAAGGTGAAGCGAAAACAGAAGAAGAGAGAACGACCATAACAACAACAACAACAACAACAACAACAGCAGCAACAACAACAGCAACAACAACAGCAGCAGCAACAACAACAACAACAACAACAACAGCAGCAACAACAACAGCAGCAGCAACAACAACAACAACAACAGCAACAACAACAACAACAGCAGCAACAACAACAGCAGCAGCAACAACAACAACAACAAGATCCCTTTCCACAAACTCACATTGATATTCGCCTTCGACAAGGTCGCTGACGGTGGCAAGCTGTTGCGCCGCGTCGGTGAGATAGTGATCCTTGGGCACGTGGCCGTCTGTGAATGTGATTTTCTCGCGGCAATGCGGGCACCCGGCCACGACGTTGCTTTTCCCTGTCTTGGTGCCATTCTTCTTGAGGTACAGCTCCATGCACTCCACACACATGGGCTTTGAGCAGCACGGGCGTTTGCTTAGCGGCTTGCCCCGCACCGAGCATATACAACAGGCCTCGAGCACGTCATGCAAGTGCATCTGCGCACGTGTGTGAGAATGTGAAACATATGTTGGTGAGCATTCAAGGCGTGGGAAGTGGCATTCAAGGCGTAGTGTGCATGTGCGTTGGCGCGCATATGTGTCTTGTGTGTGTGTGTGTGTTTGCGCACGCGCGTGTGAGCGCTGTGGTGTGCCGTGACATGAGGCGTGATCATCAGGATTTGTTGTGCACACACCTCCTTTGGTTCCTTGTTGGCACAGACAGACATAATTGAGCACATAAACCACACGCATACAGGGCAGTGCAGTGTGAGCAGGCGTGTTTGCAAGGGGGGGGGGGGTTGGTGACAATCACGAAAGCAAAGGAAGCGAGAACAGAGGTGATGTGATGATTGTGTTGCAACGTTGGGACCGCGCGCTGACTCGCACACACACAAACACACACACACACACACACACTCGCACACACACACAAACACACACACACACACACACACACACACACACACACACACACACACACACACACACACACACGAACACACTCACACATACACACACTCTCACAACCCTTAGAACCCTTCTGTTGCTTACCTCGTCCATGATGATGATGATGATGGGTGAGGAACGACGGCCACCAGACAGATGGCCAGGAGAGCACGGGGAGATCAAGAAGAAGAGGAAGCAATGGTGAAGCGACCACAAGGGAGGAGGCCGCACAGGGAGCAGGCTGCAAAGCGAAAGCTACAAGAACAGTCTCACCAGACCACAACCAAGACAATGGGAAGCACAGCAGTTGCGCGCCCATTCGTTCCCATCCAACCAACCAACAAAACAACGTTGGCGCAGCACGCGTGTATGGGGTTATGCTGGCGACTGAATTCAGTCGCAGCATTGATGAAGGGAAGGCAACAACCACAAACGACGACGACGACTTGCGCTCGCGCGCTCTCGCTGCAGTGCAGATGGAAGGATGGAGGAGGATGTTGCTGGGCTGCGGGATGCGGTGGCCGCGTGGGCAAGTGTGGATGGGGACGTGGAAGTGGCAGTTGTGCAGCACGCGCGTCGGCTAAAGCTGTTGCTGGAGGAGGTGTATCATGTGATTCAGGCAAGCAGCGGGCCCCTGCACACCCTGAGGCTGCTGCCATCCTTTGGCGCGTTTTTGGAGGTGCTGATGGGCAGCACTGTGGTAGCCAGGTCACGGCAGCTGCTGCCGCTCGTCTTCAAGTGCGTTGTCGCCTTTGGCAGCCTGCACGCCATCCCAAAAACGCTGGACGATGAGCATGCTGCTGCCCACGAGTGGTGCTTGCACCTGCTTCAGCACGCACCAGCATCGTGTCCACCCCACTTGCTCCTGAGCACGCCAACAGCCACAACTGCAACCACAGCCACAACTGCAACCACAGCCACAACTGCAACCACAGCTGCAGCAAGAAGATCCGCCAATGGACAACCGAGTGGAATCGCTCTGCACCAGACCGTGGTTGCTGCTGTCAGTGGCGATGCGGGGCCACAATCCACCCTGCGAAGCCCAAAGCCGCCAACTCGCATGCCAGAGAACGTCCAGCTGGCAGCAGACAGGCTGCGTGTCCTCAAAACCCTCCTGCACCAACAACAGCAGCGATATCAGCAGGAAAGGCAGCGTGCCGTGGGGCTTTTCAACAACGATGTGGCAGGGAGTGTGATGTGGCCCACGTCTCTCAGCATCGACAACAGCGGCAGCGGCAGCAGCATGATGAGGATACCTGGTGCCCAGTGTGTTTGGGAGCATGTGGCCTCCATTGTGGATCCAATCACCCCGGAGATGAGGCACCAGCACCCACGACACACGCGCGCCCTAGCCATTGCCGTTGCAGCTGTCCTTGCACGTGCTCCGCTTTGCTCGTGCAAGACCTGGAACAGCGAGGAAGGTGGTGCCCCTCCAGCCAAGCGGCCACGCACAAGCGGCCGTCACCACCGTCAGCCTCGCTATGACGTAGCAGCATCATCAGCAGCAGCAGCAGCAACAACAGCAACAAGCACTGGCTTGAGCGGTTTCACCAGCCACAGCCGCAGCATATCTTCTGTCCTCGCTCAACTCAAGGCACAGTCCCGCCACTCCACCTTGGCAGGTCATCAGGCAATCAGCGCCGATGATGCCTCTCCTTACCATCACCATCGCCAGCATCACCATCGTCAGGAGCGTCAGGAGCGTCAGGAGCAACAGCGCGATCATCGACGGGACCACCACCAACACGACCAACACGACCCACGCCACCAAGGGTGTGCACGCCATGGCCTTCCCCTGGCATTTGGTCAGGCCCTGCAGATGCAGTGTGGGGTTGATCTTGCCACAATACCGGCACCCGCGGCCGCATCGCTCTGGCTGTCCAGCGACGCCCTCTTGGCAGACGCTCTCTTCCACACGCTGCGCACCATAGTCCAGCCGCACAAAGGGGGCACGGCGCAGCGAGCCCTCCGCGAGCCGCAGCGCACACGCGCATCTGCACACGCGCCCGACCTGGCATCACAGGCGCCAGCACATGCACATGGCACAGCGTCAAGCAGGGGCAGCTGTACGGCGCTGGCGCTGCCAGTGTTCGCATCCATGCACACCCGGGCGCAACGGATGCTGATGGTGCGCGCGTGTGGGCAATCGACGGCGCTGCTTCTTCGCGTGCATGACACGTTGCTGCAGCTGGTGGCGTCGTCACATCTCAGCGTCATCACTCGCGTGGGAATCTCCATTCTCCTCACATCCCTGCACGCCACCACGTGCACCACACAGCAGTCTGGGCCGGCGCAGCCACCGTCCTCATCACCAGTGCCACGACCATCATCATCATCATCATCATCATCATCGTTTCTGGCACGGTCATCACAGCCATCTGCTACTGCGCGTCTCTCCGCCTGCCCGCCATCCGCCCATCTCATCTACAGCCGTCCGCGACACCATATGGTGGCACGCATCCCGTTTATGCAGCAGCAGCAGCAGCAGCAGCAGCAGGTGCATGTGCATGGTGGGCTGCAGGCGGTTGCGCAGGAGTTGAGGATGCTTGGTGGACAGCGCGTGGTGGCGATGGCGTGTGTGGAGGTGGAGGTGGAGGTGCGGGCAATTGCAGCGTTGCTGCACATACACACGCAGCGTCAACAGCACAAGGGGGCACACAACGCGTATGCGGTGTTGTTCGCAGCTGTGCTCCGTGCATCTGGCTGTGTGGCGACTGAGGCGACTTTGGCAGCACGAAGCACACGAGAAACAGCCGAAGGCACAGCAGCCTGCACAGCAGAAGAGACAGCAGAGAGAGGAGAAACCACAGCAGCAGCAGCAGCAGCAGCAGCAGAGCAGTGCCAGCACGTACATGAAGACGGTTCGACTACAGTGCTGCAGACTCTGGATCGCATCGCAGCAGCGGCGGATTTTGGCGCCGTTGTCGCCGTGATGGCCGGGCTGGTCGCGGGGGATGCCACTGAGGGAGGAGGTCGTGGTGATCGTGGTGATGGTGGTGTTCGTGGTGGTGGTGGTGATGGTGGTGTTCGTGGTGGGGGAGGCAAATGTGCAACAGCAACAGCAGCAGCTGATGACGGTGGGAGCGTGGACGTGTGTTGGTGGCGCGCAGCGTGGAAGGCGTGCTGTGTGCGCGCGTTCCTTCCGTTCACATCACCTGCATCATCGCGGGACATGGCTGCGCTGGCGATACATCTCAAGGCTGTTGTAGCACCGGCGCAGCCAGACCTCTTGCTCTGGTTCTCCCTGCTCGCAGCCCAGGTACATGTGTGTGTGTGTGTGCGTGTGTGTGTGTGTGCGTGTGTGTGTGTGCGTGTGTGTGTGTGAGTGTGTGAGCGGGCACGTGTGCGTGTGTGCGTGTGTGTGTGTGAGCGGGCACGTGTGCGTGTGTGAAGATGCACTCATGTCATGATGGCTGCATGCTGATGTTGCCCGCTGGTGTCGTGATTGGTGTGCGCTGTTCAGGTTGCCTCAACGCTCGACAGCGACACAGACGAGGTGTGGGGCACGGCATTCATCTCCTTTCTGGAGGACATGGTCAAGTGGATCAAAGCTCCTCCATCGCAATCGTCACGCCGTCAGCCAGGTGTCATTACCCCCACCACCACCACCACCACAACAACAGCAGCAGCAGCAACAGCAGCAGCAGCAACAACGGGCAGGGCGACCACCACAACGGCCACCACCACTCCTGCGCCAACATCATCTCAGACATCAGAGCCAGTGCAACAACCACGCTGCCACAACCACAACCAGCAGCAGGAACGGCAGCTGGGAAGCGACCTTGCACCGCATGATCCTGATCCGTGGCAGGGCGGGGTGGAGGTGTTGGCGTGTGCGCAGCAAGCGCTGACAGGGGCCCTGGAGGCCGCAAACCAGTGGCTGGTGCAGCTGTACTGCTGATGAGTCAGTGGTGGTGGTGGTGGTGGAGGTGTAACCAACTGGTGGTGCTGTAGTTCTTTGCAATAAACGATGGCGAAGTTGTGTATTGGCTTGTCAAGTGAACATCACAAGCAGCATGCAGCCACATTAAAGAACAAAATGACAGACAGGCGGACAGATGGACGGACACACACACGCAGACACACACAGATACACACACAGACATAGACAGACACACACAGACACCCCCCCCCCACACACACACGTCGCTCCCCCGTTCAATCGAGGATGCGTTGGAGTTCGTGGTAGAAGGAGAGGAGGACCGGGAAGCGCTCAAGTCGCGACTTGAACGGGTTGACGGCCAGCGGTGCGTGCAGCGCCCACGCCAGCACCCCATACACAACCGCATCCACAAACGTAAACCTGTTGGTGTGTCCAAGCAGGCGCGCGTGGGGACGTGGTGTGAGATGGGAATGCGGTCAGCGTTGGTGTTACATAACATTACGCACATCTCTTCACCACCACCACCCCCAATACCACCAGCACCAGCACCAGCATCTTGTCACCACTCCCAATACCAGCACCAGCACCATCACCGGCACCAGCACCACCAGCATTACCAGCGAACGACAGTAGCTTGGGCACGCCACCTGTTTGCGACGATGTGCGGGGCGCATGTGGCGAGCTTTGCGCTCACAGCGCAGAAGATGTCGTCAATCTCCTGCTCAACCTGAACAGCGATGGGCAGCGGTTCGTGTGTCAAGACCGTGGAAGCAACTGCACGCATGCAACACGCACCCACACCCACACACCCACACACACACACACACACACACGCACCCACCCACACACACACACACACTCTCTCTCTCGTAACACTACTGACGTCAGCGGGCTGGAATTGCCTGCGCGTGTGTGCGGCGGTGCGTGCGGCGACTCTTCTGCGCCACGCCAGCAGCACCTGCAGCGGCCACGGATATGTGCACAGCTCATCCTGCCCAACAGCCACCCGGTTGCCGGCCTCCTCCCACACCAGTGTTTCCTGTGGAGCAGCAACGCAGTTGCCACACGGCACAAGCGCACATCGTGAGCGCTGCATGAACCAGTGTGCATGTGCGTGCGTGTGTGCGAGAGTGTGTGTGCGAGAGAGAGAGAGAGAGAGAGAGAGAGAGAGAGAGAGAGAGAGAGAGAGAGTGTGTGTGTGTGTGTGTGTGTGTGTGTGTGTGTGTATGTGCATGTGTGTGCGTGTACGTGCGTGTGTGTCCTTACCGCGATGTTGAAGAGCGGCAGGACGAGGGCGAGATATGCGCTCACGTCCGCACTCGTTTCATCGCCACCGCTGCTGCCGTTAGTGTCATTTGCATCTGATAGCTGTTGGTGGTGGTGAATGTGCATGTGAATGTGAGCATGTGCGAAAGTGTGCGCGCATGACAGTGCCTCCACATTGTGTGCGCGTAATGTCATACACAAAGAGCACTCCCTTCTTTCCAGTACCCCCCCCACACACACACGCACGTACGCACTTTGCTGAGGTGCTGGAAGATGGCCTCTGGTGTCTCCAGCACGCGGTCCGCGCCGACACGAAGAAGTGGCAGCACGTCTGCAGCAGCAGGCGGTGTCAGGTGACACGGAGGAAGGAAGGGAGTGGAGGGGTTGGGGGTGAGTGGTTGGTGTTTTAAGTTCGTGGTTGATTGGTGGAGGCGAGGAGCAAGAGGAAGATATGAATAAGGCGAAGAACGGGCATACGCGAAAAAAGAAAACGATGGGAGCGTGATGCATTCACATGCTTGGGCACCACACCTCGTGTGGACATGGCGGTGTTGGTTGTGTTGACGACTTGGAACGGGATCTGCGTTGGAGGATATTGATGGGTGGGGGGAGGCAGAAAGCGTGAGGGATGGTTGCCGCGGTGGTGGTGATGGCGATGGATGAAGACAACGTTCAAGTCACGTGCGCACAACGAGCACACACACACACACACAACAAGGAGGCACGTTGGCTGTACCTGGTGGAAGGTGCAAAAGGATTGGATTGCGATGCTCACAGGGGAACTGGAGCACACACCCCAGGCTGTGACGAAAGGAGAGGGAAGGCGTGTGAGGCAAAGCAAACAGCGAGGCAGAGACGGGCAGACAAGAAACAAAACACAGAGGGACAGGCATGTGCACGAAGTCAGACACACATGCACAGACACAAAGACACACACAAAGAGACAGACACAGACAGACAGACAGACAGACACACACACACACACAGACACACAGACACACACACACACACAGACACACACACACACAGACACACAGACACACACACACACACACACACCTGGTGGTTGCTGGTAGAGGGTGAGCTGTGTCGAGCCATCCCGTGGAGTTCGTGACAGGATGGCAGACGCCTCTTGCAATAGTTGTTGATGTACGGTCGATTCGTCTTGAGGCTGCTGTTGCTGCTGCTGCTGCTGTTGCTGCTGCTGCTGCTGCTGTTGCTGCTGCTGTGGCGCGCTCATTGTGGCGGCTGCAGGCGTCGCAGCTGACTCTCGTGGCTCTTGTTGCCCTTGTTGTTGTTGTTGCTGCTGCTGTTGTTGTTGTTGCTGTTCGGTTGATTTGATGACGTCCTCCACCAGTGTGAGTGGGATGCTGAAGCCGTGCTTGCGGAAGAAGTCCGCCAGCTCTTGCTCCTCAATCATGCCATCATGGTTCGTGTCCAAGTCATCAAACAATTGCTGTAGAATTGAAGACCACACATATGAGCGGCAGAAGGTGGTGGCACGCAGGTGGCGAAGAAGGTAGGTCGAAGGCGACGGCAAACGGTGACACCAAGGGGCTGCAGGACAGTACGAAGCACACATGTACACAAGTGCGTACACAGGCAGACACATACACACACACACACAACACACACACAGACACACACAGACACACACAGACACACACATACACACACAGACACACACAGACACACTCACACACACATACGCACACGCACACACAGACACACACACATACACTACATGCGTGTCTTGAACATCTTACCTGCCAGTGCGGTCCAACTTCCTTTGTGATGTGCTTGCGCAACGCCGGGTGCGCGCGGATGGCTCGCTTCACCTCCGTGTGCGACAAGGAGCCGTTTCCATCCAGGTCCCAGGCTCGAAACAGCCGTCGCACCACCTGCTCCTGCATCTTGTCACCGTCCGCCATCCTGCATGCACTGCTGCGATGGTTTTGCCAACGTGCTCAGTGATTTTACCAACTCGGTCCATGAATTTACCACACACTCAGCTGGCGTTGGTAAAAAGCCCGCAAGGAGCAAAACACAAACAAGCACAAGCAACAAGCAGGCACGTGGAAGCACACAGCACAGCACACAGCACACCGTCTTCGACTCTCGGTTGCACTGAGCAGCGTCGCGTTGTGCCAATTGTTTACACAAGCACCATGACGGAACGGCGGCTGGTGGCTGACAAGGACTACATTGTCGGCGACGTTGTTCTGAAGGACACGCCTTTCGTGTGTGCGCAGGTGAGCCAACTTGTGTCGACACTGCATGTGCCAGTGACGACGCTCTTTCGTACGTGGCGCGTTTCGATGCCAAGTCACGTCTTGACGCTCCTCACACACATGCGCGCTATGTCTGTCGTGTGTGTGTGTGTGTGTGCGTGTGTGTGTGTGTGTTTGCTGGGCAGTTTTCCTGGAATCGCAAGTGTGGCTATGTTGCGTGCTCGCACTGCCTTCGCTCCCTCGAGTCTGCAGAGGCAATGGCCACGTGAGTTGTGCTCATTTCACTCACGACATCACCCCATTTAGTTCAGCGTGTTTGTTGCATGATGTTCACGACAGCTTTCTGTTGTCTTCCTAACCATCAACTTCTGCATGCACGCACACGCACACATACACGCACACGCATGCACACACACACATCCGCAATGAACTTGCATTGGTCCTGTATTCATGGCCCACACACCTTGGTTTTGCCACGACTGTCTTTTTCTTGCTTGCTTGGGACACAACGCCCATTGGATAGCCGCCTTGCTGGGCAAGACGTGAAGCTGCCGCACCCCGAGCTGTGCCCAAACAACGGCCGGGAACGCGTGACTTGCACGCAGTGCGAGGAGGTGTATTGCAATGAGGCATGCCGTGACAAGGCATGGCAGCTGCACCACAAGGTCCTCTGTCCCGGCGACCCCCAACGCGCCGCCCTGCTCACCGCCCTGGAAGAGGCCTGGATGTACGCCCGTATTCGTTGAAGTTGTCTTTTCTCGTACAATGTCCCCCGCTGCGCATGCGATGGCATCTGCACGTCTGCACGTCTGCATGCTTTACTTGCTTCCTGCTTGTCAAGCGCAGTGTCGCCACACGCGCGCATACACACACACACACATATGTAACACCATTTCCTCAGCACCACATGATAGCACTGCTGTCCGTTGACCAACAACTGACATACTCATCCATTGTGTGCGCGTGTCATGTGATGGCCTCAACTGCAGGCAAGTGCACACGCCGCCGGAGACGACGTCTGCCATGCTCATTGTCCGGCTCCTCGCACAGCTCGTCAGCGTAAGCAACAGGGGTTTGAGTGTGTGCGTGCGTGCGTGTGTGTGTGTGAGAGAGAGAGAGTGTGTGTGTGTGTGTGTGTGCGTGTGTGTGCGTGTGTGTGTTAGCCCGCATGTGCGCGAGCCCCGACCAATCACCTCTCTCTGCGTCCTCGACTTGTCACGGCGTTGGCAGGGCGACACGACGACGCTAAAGGCACTGGACGTGCTGTGCCATCACACCAAGGCCGAGATTGGCGGGAAAATGCACACGCACAAGCTGCTTGATCCGCCACACGTCGACCATGTGCACGCTATGCAGCCGTTTATCATCGACATTGTCAACTCCTGGTCGGACAAGCACGACATCGGCCTCGCCATGCAGGTGTGTAGCAATGTGTTTGTGTACGTGTGTGTATTTGTGTGTATTTGTGTACGTGTGTGTATTTGTGTGTATTTGTGTGTGTGTGTATTTGTGTGTGTGTGTGTGTGTGTGTGTGTGTGTGTGTGTGTGTGTGTGTTGGTGCTTGTATGCGCGTGTTAGTATGCACGTATGAATGTGAGGATGTGCAGAAATACGGCAACGGAACCACATACTCATGCCTTCTCTTGTTTGTTCTCCCCTTAACATCACTGCGCACCCCTTACATTTGCGTCCATGTGTGTGTGTGTGTGTGTGTGTGCGTCGCAGTGGGCGACGGAGAGGTATCTTGAGCTGTGGGCGCTGCTTGGCCTCAACTCCCTCGGCATCGGGTCAAGGTCAGCCGTCAACGCTGGGCGATTGGGAGGGGGGGGAGCAAAGTGAAGTGCGGTGTGAAGAGAGTGTGTGCGAGTGTGTGTGTGTGTGTGTGAAATGTCTGTGTGTGTGTGTGAAATGTCTGTGTGTGTGCGTGTGTGTTAACGGAAGAGAGACAGGGGAGCAGCAAGAATCTTCAGCACATACGCACGATCGTGTGTTTGCGCATGTGCGCTTTGCCTGATACCACGTGGCTGACTGGTTTGCGTGGTTCAACTCACCTATTCCTTCGTGCGCGTCTCTCTCTCTCTGGTGCAGTTCTGTGTCGCAGTACGATATTGCGCTTGCGCAGGCGTCCATTTCCGATGACGAGCGCCAGGAGGTGACGACCACAGCATGATGATGATGATGATGATGATGATGATGATGATGATGATGATGATGATGATGATGATGATGATGATGATGATGGTACATCGGGTGGTGGATTGGTGACAAGGTTGTGTGGTCGTTACTGATTGTCATGAGGTGCTCGCTGCACTTCCCTGTTCGCTCGCTCACTTCATGCTCTTGCATGTGCCCGGTTGTGGCGGTAACGTTGGTTCAGGCGAGCGACTTCATGGACAATGTCTACGAAGTCATGTTTGAGCGTGAGTGCACTGCATTGAAGCACACACACGGACAGGCAGACAGACGGACACACACACATACACACACACACACGCACACACATGCGCGCACATGCACACACATGTATGCACAGAAGGTTTGACGTGACTATTTCGTCTGTCTCGCTCAAGGCCACGTATCTCTCTTGTCGAACCGCTCACCATGATCGCTCCATGTGCATAATGCATGTGTGCGAGCAGACAGCGGCGAGTTTCTGGACGCGGAGGGAACGGGAATCTTCTTCCACCAGAGCGCATGTACGTCTGATGGCAATACATGGAGCTTGCTGCGTCCTGTACCGTGATACGCTTAGCTGTGCTGTGACATGCTTAGCTGTACTGCACAAAAGCGCGCGTGCACACACACACACACACACACACACACACGCACGCACACACACACACACATACACGCGAACACACACACACACACACACGCAAACACACACACACACACGCGAACACACACACACACACACACACGCAAACACACACACACACGCAAACACACACACACACATCATCATCATCATCATCATCATCATCATCATCATCATCATCATCATCATCATCATCATATCGTTGCATCACCTTCTCACGCCCTGTTGTCACTACCAATGCCCTTGCTTGCAGGCAACCACAGCTGCGAGGCGAATGCGGAGTGCCAGTTCAAATATGGCGACTGCACCGTGGAGGTCGTCGCAACAACGGCCATTGCAAAGGGCGAGGTGCGGTGGGATTAGCTCGCTGTTGTAGTCGTAATTTGTTGGTTGTAGTTGTGGTGGTGAAGTGTTTGTTGTTATTGTTGCAGTGCTGGTTGTGTGCAGGGTTGAAATTGTTGACTGCTGGGAGGCGCTGATTGTCACTGCACTGCTCGTTCCCTACAGCACCACCCACAGCACCACCCACAGCACCACCAACAGTTATCGCTCTTCTTCTCACCGCCAACAACAACACCATCACCACCACCGCCACCATTAGGAGGTGTTTATTTCGTATCTTGACGACCAGCTTCTCTCCGCCAGCAGAAACGACCGCTGGGACGAACTCAGGTGATGGCAATGGTGATGGCAATGGTGGTGGTGGTAATGGTGGTGGTGATGATCATCATGCCGCTACACTCTCTGAGTGCATTTGCGTGCGCATGTACATGAACATACGCGAACAGCAGCAGCTGCTCGTGTCGTGTGCGCCCGTCTGTTGTTGTCGTTGAGTTCCGTGCTCACCCGCTCCACCCATCCCACCCCCCCCCCCAATCCAACCATCCAACCCATCCCCATCCCCTCCCTGCACGCTGCAGACGCGGGTATCTGTTTGAGTGCGGGTGCAGCAAGTGCGTAGCGCAGGCGGCCAACCCTGACGAGCCAGACTCCCTCAGCGACATCGACTCCTCCCTAGACGGTGACGACGAAGATGATGGTGTTGGCGATGATGATGGTGATGATGATGGTGATGGTGATGGTGATGGTGATGGTGATGGTGATGAGAACGCCAAGAACACTGCGGAAGAGAAGGCCAACAGCAGCGAAGACACCACGCCAACGCAACCAGAGCAACAGGAGGAAGAACTGCAAGACGAGGAACAGCAGCAAGAGGAGGCAAAGCAGCAGCAGGAGCAGCAGCAGCAGCAGGAGCAGGAGCAAGTTGCACCACCGCCCGCCACCCCCGCCACCAATGACGAGGATGACGATGATGCGGATGGCGCCGAGTCCGTTGACGGCTTTGAGGATCTCGACATTGGGGATGAAGAGGATGAGGAGGACTGCATGGAGGAAGAGGAGATGTTCCAATAGTGCACACGCGCGCGTGCACACACACACACACACACACACACACACACACACACACACACATGGGGTATGCGAGCATGGCTTGCAGCGGTGCGATGGCGTTGTGTGACGGCTGCTGTTAAGCTGTTGCGTGTCTTGCGTGCCCAGTCACTTCCTGTCCCACCTTTGTTTTCTTGTGGGCTGCTTCTAGTTTCGATATTGACGTCTTGTTCTTCTGCCTTGCTTCATTGCTGTCTTTTACTTACACGTTCATGCCTCAAGTCTCTGTGCATATCAAACAAACCAATGCACATCAACGAACCCAACAAACCAGCCCATTCCATCGAGCAAACAAAGCAATCAGCCCAAGAGAGCAGCCACGGGGCATTGCATGTATCCGAGTACATGATCAACAAATACATCAGCAAGTTGGTTGCCACAATCGCCAGTGGAGCAGCGCAAGCGCGTGTAACAGCGACGCCATCGTTGCTCCAATTTTACTGAATCGCGTAGCTTGCATCAGCGGAAGCGCCCACTTAACCAGCGAGAATGAGGTACACCGCAACAAGCAAGTTGACGAAGATCAAAGGCACTGCCAGGGGTGGGACAAGAGGAGGAGCGAAGAAGTGAGTGCTGTATGATGGTGACAAAAACACTTGCAAGTTACGGGACACACGCACAAACACACCCACACCCACACCCACACCACACACACACACACACACACACACACGGCATGGTACACCTGCCGTGACATCAGCGTTGTACTTACATCTCATGAGTGTTCTGACGGCGTTAATCATGGTGATAATCTTTCCCTTGACGCTTGTTTCGTCCTCAGCATGCGTCCATCCCACTGCAGTTGCATCGTGAATGTGTTGCATGTGCCGTCAGCACGACTGGTGTGCTGGAACAAACCAGAGAGCAGCAAACAAGCGGCACACACACACACAAAGCAAAAAAAAAGCACATAGCAAACAATCACAACACACACACACACACGCACGCACACAAACACACACACACACACGCACACACGCACGCACAAACACACGCACGCACGCACGCACGCACACACAGGACTCACTCTTTGCAAGGAATCGTTTGACTGGCGGCCTCCCTTCGTGCAAACTCGGGGTTGTGTCTTGAAGGATGGCGACAGCGTTGACTAACAACAACGCCGCCTCAAACAGCGACCCAAGCATAAACATGATGCGCCAACCACAAACAGATAGAGACAGAAACAGTCAAGCAAGCCAACAGCAAGTGAAGCAAACAAGCAAAGAAGAAAGGAAGGAAAGGAAGCAAGCACAGCAAGGAAGGAAGAAAGGCTCGCAAGCAAGGAAGGGAGTTTGGTTTGTGCGTTGTTGGCGGTCCACCAAACCAGCAGCAGTTATGGAAGAGTTGCGGTGAAGTAAATAATTTTCGGCAAATCAAGGCAAACAAGCACACTTGCTGTGCTTGTGGACGACGACCCTTCTGCTCAACAACACGTTCGTCATACTCATCGTGGTGGCAAAGCGTAGCTATAAGGGCGCTCGACACACGACCCGACGTGTAAAATGGGGAAGACACGGTTGGACCGGCTGCTCGTGCTGCTGGACACGGGCAGCACGCGTGCGCATCGCGAGATGGCGGCCAAGGAGATTGGCGCGCTGGTGCGCCTGCACCCGCACGACTTGCAGCAGCTCATGTGCAGGGTGCACAACTTCCTGCGCTCCAAGTCGTTTGAGACCCGCGTCGCTGCGGGCATGGCGTTTAGGTCCATCGCCGACAACGTCAACCAGGTGCGCGCGCGCGCGTGTGTGTGTGTGTGTGTGTGTGTGTGTGTGTGTGTGTGTGTGTGTGTGTGTGTGTGCGTGTCGAGTGTCGAGTGTCGAGGGAGTGCGTGTGGATGAGCATGTGTGTGTGTGTGTGCGTGTGCGTGTCGAGTGTCGAGGGAGTGCGTGTGGATGAGCATGTTTGTGTTCAGTGAGTGAGTGCGTGCGTGTGCATCGTAGCTTGTTCGTGCGTCACATACTTTTTTTTTGTGGCGAGCGCTGACCGGGCTGCTGTGCTTTGTTTTCTGCCACCCTGTTCCTTGCTTCCCTTTCTCTGACTCAAGTGGGAACCAAAGCTGGCGGACAAAGACGATGCCGGTGCTGAGGAACAGGCACACGTACTGGAAGGCTTTGAGCGCATGCTGTCGTTTGAGACCTTTGACCTCGAGTTTATCCTGGAGCACGGCCCCCGGCTGCTTGGCAGCTCGGGTCTGGAGTACCTTGAGGATGACGAGCTCAAGCACCTCAGCCCGCGCCAGCGACTCATCCGACAGCGCGAGAACCTGACAAAGCAGCTGCGGCAGTCCATGGGCGGCAGCGGTGACGACGTCGGCGGCGGTGGTGGCGGCGTTAAGGTCGAGGACCTCGTCAGGTCAGGCAGTTGCATCAGTGTCGAAGCGGTGGTGGTTGGCATCAGGGCTGCACGAGCAGATGATGTACACATTCACATTCACACACGCATACACACACATACACACAAATTCACCCGTACGCGACGTACAAAACACACACACACACACACACGCACACACACACGCATACTGCAGCGAGGAGGATCTGATGGCGCAACCGACGAAGCGGGCAAAGGTGGAGCCAAAGGATGCGGCGGCGTCACAGCGCGTGGCAGACTCCCTTCGCGGGCTCAGCGCCCGGCAAATCAACGCGTGCGTGCACACATGCAATTGAGGCTGCGGTTGCGCGGTTGTTTGGGTGTATGGTTGATGATCTTGTGCATGTGTTCTTGGTGGTGTGGTTGATCATGATCATGTGTAACTCGCGTGTGATTACAGTGAGTTTGCAGTGTGCGATGTGCGTGTGTGTATGTATGCGGCTGTGGGGTTCACTGGACTGCCTGTGCTCGTGCTCTCTCGCGCTGTGTTGGCTGCAGCATGAAGCGGAAGAAGAAGCAGCAGAAGAAGGCGCCCAAGCAATCGGTGTACACGGGCAGGGACGCGTCAGCATCATCGGCTTCGTCCTCGTCCAAGAGCAGCAAGGCCATGCTCACGGAGCAGGCAGACAAGGACAAGGTGTGGTCTGGGTGAACATGTGCATGCATGCGTGTGCGTGTGTGAGTGACTGTGAGTGTGAGTGTGAGTGAGTGTGCATGCATGCGTGTGTGAGTGTGTGTGAGTGCGAGTGAGTGTGTATGTGCGTGTGAATGAGTGTGAGTGAGTGTGAGTGAGTGTGTATGTGCGTATGATATGTGCGTGTGTGCTTGCGTGCGTTTATTCGTGTGTTTGATGATCAGTCATGGCACATGTTCTCATGGAAACGACGTCACTGCGTGTTTCTATGCCCCCTCCCTCCCTCGTGCCACGACAGGTGGTCGTTGAGACCAAGATTGACGCTGACGCTGTGTTTGCAAACGCGGACGAATGGCCCTTCCAGGCCAGATGCGAGGAGATGTGTACGTACAGACTGCAGTGTATTTGTGTGTGTGTGTGTGTATTTAGCATATGTATGTGTGTGTTTGTGCGTGTGTGTGTGTGTGTTTGTGCGTGAATATGAGAGGATGTGCGTGCACCCAAACATTCTCGCGTTCTCAATGTATCCACGCCAATCCCCTACTTATGTCGCCCCTCCCCTTGTCCCTTGGGCCACCAGGCAACGACCTGTTTGATCCTGACTGGGGCATCCGCCACGGCGCCGCTGTTGGCCTGCGCGAGCTCATCAGCAGACACGGCGCAACCGCCGGCATCATCCAGCACTCGGACACTGCGTACGCCAGCCGCCCTCTTGCCCATGTTGCTGTTGCTGTTGCTGTTGTTGTTGTTGTTGTTGTTGTTGTTGTTGTTGTTGTTGTTGCTGTTGTTGTCGTGGTGGCTGTCTCGAAGCAGGCTGGATTGCACATGTGACTGCACGTGCACACCACGTCATGGTCATTCACTTATTCCATCACTTCACCATCAAGCAATGACCTTTGCCAACACATGTACCTCTCCCCCTTCCCCGCATGTCTCAGGGCGACGCAATCGCGGCACAATTCGCGCTGGCTGGAGGACATGGCCATCCGCCTCATCTGCGTCCTCGCTCTCGACAGATTCGGAGACTTCAGCTCAACACAGGTCAGCACGCGCGCTCGTGTGCTTATGTGTGCGGAGGTTTGTGTGATGAGGTGGAGAATGGAAGACGGTGCAAACGCAACTGGTTCGCGTGGGCGTGTGATGGCATTCAGCGGCTTCACGCGTCCTCCACTCAACTTCACTTCACGTCGTACACACCTGCCCCGCTTCAATTCACCACCACTCACCACCACTCACCACCACTCACCACCACTCACCACCACTCACCACTGGCTCCCCCCCCCACACACAAAAGGCTGTCGCGCCGGTGCGGGAGATGGCAGCGCAGGCGCTGGGCGCTGTTGTTAAACACATGAGCGCGGCCTCTGTGCGGCGTGTGCTGATGCTGCTGTTGCGGCTGGAGCAGCAGCATGACTGGGAGGTGCGACACGGCGGCCTCCTGGTGCGTAGCTGAGGAGAGGAAGATGGGAAAAGAGGGTGGGGGAGGAGCTACGATGTCCTTGTCGCCTGCTTGTTGTTGCCAATACGTGTCTGTGTGATTGTGTGATTGCGTTTGAGCGAGAGAGAGAGAGAGTGTGTGTGTGTGTGTGCGTGTATGTGTGTGCGTATGTGTGTGTGCGTGTGTTGTTGTGATGGAACGTTTGGCCTTGCCGCCCGCCCCATCCGCTTCAAGCTCACCATCATCATCACCAACACCTCCGTCACCACTTTGTGTGCATATATATGTGTGTGTGTATGTGTATGTGCAGGGCGTAAAGTACTTTGCTGCGGTGCGGGATGATCTGGTCGTGTCGCTGCTGCCAGACCTTCTCCCCGTCATGCTCCAAGGTCCCTTGCTCCCTCCACAGCACACGGCATCCATTTGCTCAACCTGTGGCTGCCGTCTGCTTTGCGCTACTCTTTGCTGTCACACTCCCTCTCACACACATTCTCCTTCTCTCTTTCACACACACACACACACTCCTTCTCTCTCTCTCTCACACACACACACACACACACACATGCACACACTCTCTCGTCATACTCACACCCTCACCTTCACCTTCACCTTCACCTTCACGGCCACCCCCACACAGGGCTGCAGGAGCGAGATGTGGACGATGTCCGCGCAGCCGCCGCCGACACCATGATTCCCATGGCAGACCACGTGCGGTTATGAGAAGGGGGTGATGGCGGTGAGGGTGGTAATGTGCTTGCGGTGACGAATGACAGTTCTTTTAGGTTTCTTGCTTGATCTGAGGGAGCGGTTGATGTCGCCTGTTCCCACAGCACTCTGACACACACACACACACACACACACACACACACACACACACACACACACACACACACACACACACTTGCGGGCAGGTGGTCGCACATGCCCCCGACACGATCAAGACGATTGTGACGCTGCTGTGGGACGCGCTGCCTGAGCTGGACGATTTGTCCGCTTCGGCCGGTAGCATCTTGAAACTCCTCGCCCGCCTCCTCAACCACCTCACAGCGCAGAACCCAGAATGTGTGCGCGTGTTTCGTGTGTGTGTGCGTGTGTGCGTGTGTGTGTGTGCGTGTGTGTGTGTGTGTGTGCGTGCGTGTGTGTGCGTGTATGCGTGCGCGTGTTTCGTGTGTGTGTGCGTGTGTGTGTGTGTGTATGCGTGCGCGTGTTTCGTGTGTGCATGTGTGGTGTGTAGTGTGAACCATCATGGGATTCTTCAGTGACCTCCACAAAGGCCCCGTCTCATGCAGCAACCAACCACTCACAATCTGCTCGTTCTTTTTCTGCCTCCACTCCTCCTCAGCCATCTCGCACACGCACACGGGCGGTGTCGCCCTTGAGGACCTCATGAATCGCCTGTGGGCGTTTTTCCGCCACCCGCGCACCGCCATCCGCACCACCGTCCTCCACGCGGTATTGAGCCTGGCGGAGCGTGTGTGTGTGTGTGTGTGTGTGTGTGTGTGCGTGTATATGCGTGTGTGTGTGTGCGTGTATATGCGTGTGTGTGTGTGTGTGCGTGTATATGCGTGTGTGTGTGTGTGTGCGTGTGTGTGTGCGCGCCAAGAAGACATTTCGTCAACACAGTTCTCACTCGCCCACCATCGTTTGTGCTGGCGCCACCACAGACGCGTGAGATTGTTGAAGCGGCGGCGCGGGCGAGTGTGCAGTCGTTTTTTGAGGTTGTTCTTCCACATGCCCTCGTCCATACGTTTCAGGTGCGCAGCAGCTTGCTTTGCTGTCTGCAGCCATGGTCCTGATGCTTGGTGTCGTGTGTGTGCGTGTGTGCGTGTGTGCGTGTGTGCGTGTGTGCGAGTGTGCGTGTGTGCGTGATGGGGTGTTTGTCTTTGTGGGTTCGTGTTTTGCACCTGTTTGTGAGTGTGTGATGTTTCTACTCCTGTGCCATTTACACTCATATCACGCACGACAATCACCACATCCTCCTTGAATGCATGTGAGCAGAATCTGCTGCTTGAGGATGACGGTGACGTGCTTGAAGCGTCCAAGGGCGTGTGGATGGCCTGCCTCACACACGCAACACCAGCGCAGGTGGCAAAGGTAAGGCAGGCCATTCCGCGTTGGATTTACTGCCGCGCTCAAACCCGCCGTGTCTCACACATTTCCACTCACAACCACCATTACGACTGCTACAACTACTACTACTACGACTACTACTACAACACACACACACACACACACACACAACACACACACACACACAACACACACACACACACACACACTTACTCACTCACGTACCCCTTTCCTCTGCTGCTTGACGCGTGCAGGCGCTGCCCAACACGCAGCTGCTGAACTTCTTCCGCCTGCTCATGACCGCCCAGAACACCCCCATCACCAAGGCGTACCTCGTGCGCGCAGGCCATGGCGGCGGTGGCGGCGGCGGCGGCGTGATTGTGACGTCTGCGGATGGATCGTCGGTTGTGTCGGACGGCGGGCCCGAGAACATCTACCTCGCAGGCGACCAGCCCTTGTCCCACGAGTCAGTCCTTTCGGCTGTGTTTGTGCGTGGTTGCGTGTTTGTTGTGGGCTGTGTGGCGGAAATGATGAAGTGTGTCTCTCACAGCTGAGAGCTGTGCTTGCATGCGCATCCTCACACACGTGTTCTCACATCACTCATCCCAAATGCACTCAACCCCCTCCCATCCCCGAATCCAGCGAGTACGTGTTGATGCGTGCGCGGTACAGTGCTGCTGCTGCTCTTGGTCAGCTCACAGCCAAGTGGACGTGCACGGGCGAGATGCCAAAGACCCTCGCAAACCTCACGTTCCAGGTGTGTGGACGCACATGCTCCTGGCCCCGCTTGCTTGTTTTTTGAGGGTGTGCTCTCGCCTGTTTGCGCTTGCATCTGTCGTGGATCGACACGTGTGGATGCACGTTTCTTGCGCTCTTCATCGTTCGCCAAACCGTTCCTGAGCTCACTCCCTCCTCTTCCTCTCCCAACGTCTGCCTGCCTGCGCCACTTGCACCCCTCTTCGCGTCTGCAGATGCTGCAGGCTGATGCGCGCAAGAAAGGCACTGCGCCATCCTCTGTTCGCCGCTTACTCGGGGGCGTCATCGTCACGTCCTGGGCCACGCACGCCCGCACCACATTTGCCGACTCAGACAAGGTTTCATGTGTGTGTGTGTGTGTGTGTGTGTGTGTGTGTGTGTGTGTGTGTGTGTGTGTGTGTGTGTG